GGACAATATAATTGAAAAGATAACATGAATTTGATTTAACGAGTAATGACATTTTACAGAAATGCCTTTTTTCTCTACAGTAGGTCTGAGTAATGTGATGTTGATTCTAGTCCTAGTCTGTTTTCGGTCTTGGTCTTTGGTTTCGCCTTAGTGTGTCTTGCTCGTGGTCTTGGTCTTGGCAGTGTCTTGGTCTTGACACCCTCCGGTCTCGGCAATGTCTTGGTCTCGGTTTAGGCAGTCTTGACTACAACACTATTAATAAGTTGAAATTTCATGCTAATGATGAATTATTCCCATAATATAAAGTATCGGGGAAAACTGCAGACTCTACACTTTGATGCACAGAATGCTGTTGTGTTTTGGGAAAACAGCAGATATATTTCATTTCTGCTGATTCACTTTAGGAGTCCATACTGACTATTTCAGTTTCTTTATTCTAACAAGTATGAATGTCAATAGGGATGAGCCGAAACAATATTATTAAGCTAGTAAATACAGGTGAAAAACGTATGCCAAAAAGACTTAAATTGGGCTACTACAAACATACCTAACGTACTTTTCCACCTCGTTTGTACATCTTGTTTATAGCGTTTTTGAGGCATTTGCAGTTCAACTTGAATACCTTCCAAGAGCGTATACGCAAGTGGCGAATGCTTAAAATGCCCCACAATTATTTTTCCCATACAATTCTGTCACATACCCCTCGTGTATCACAAGCTCTAGCGAGTGCGCAAAACAGCCCAAGCTAGCGACTCCCAAAATCATTCATCGCTTTTTTCATATTACTCGCGTTGTCGTGCGTGCGCTTTGTTTATTGGGATTTTCGACTAAACGCTACTGCCACCCCACAAAACTTTGTTTTTTACAAAGATTGCAAATCGCTGTGCTGTTAAACACGTAAAATACTCCCAGATCGTCTCCTTATCGGATGTTCTTACGCTCCCCGCACTGCAAAGCGTATGCGCATGACATCACAGCAGGCGGAGTCACTGCGCTCACCCACTAAGCGGCAGCGTTAGCATTCGATTTGAATGCCGCAAAAGCACATCTAAAATGGAAACGAGATGTCATGCAATCGATTATATGAATAGATTAAACAAGAAATAGGAGCTGTCTTTTTAGACACCGCCAAAAACTAAATAAGTAAGTATAGGACATGGATCGGTCACGTACGGCCGATACCCGATCCGTCAAATAGGTCTGGATCGGCACCGATACCGATCCGAATATCAAATTGGTGCATCTCTAAATGTCAACATACTCAGAAGCCCAATATTTCAAAATTATAGGTGAACTTTACTAGCCAAAGGCAGAATTACAGGTCACTAATGAAGCTTATTTTAACTTTTAAAATCTGTTTCCATTTCGGAGATCCTCTTTCTCGACAAGGCTCACTTCAGGACATCCAGGGAGAATACCCTTATCTTTTGGACACTCCTTTGTCAACCCTGACGCCAACACGAGATCAATACCCAGAAATATGCACCTGAAAAGAAACCTAATTTTCATTACCTTTAATGCACCGTAATTAAGAGGCATGGCATAAGGAATCTCCTCATAAACTCATTTTATGAGTTACTATCCTTTCAGTACCATATTACCTGCTATCCATTTCAAAGAACCACGAGTTAGGCAACAAGAGGTAAACCTGGTTAACTAGCCACGCAGAAAGGTGTGTTGGGAAGGCAAAACCCACAATGTAAGAGGGCAACCATACACACCGGCCATGGCTTTGTCAGGGTTCCATTCGTCATCCGAAGTGCCATTCTCCTCAGGAGAAGGATCACCTTCCACCTCCTCCGCAGCCCCGTCCGGGGGCTTACACGAGTCCGGCGTGGGCTTCTGACCTTAAATCGCGGACACAGGCACCATGCATGCAGTCAGTCTCACTGCATCGGCATTTAGCATATTCACATTTTCCTTGGAATATTTAGAATTTCATCATACTACGAGAGATTTTTATCGGACTGGCACTCTCAGCTTTTGCACAATTAAAAAAAAAAAACCTTGCACCCAGGAATGAAACAAACATAATGATCGACAATGTATTTGATGTCGGGGAAGCAAATCTGAATTTTACTGAATAATTTGGAGGTCAAATTTAATGACAACACTTAGAGACCTTGCTGGTTGTATTTTTATGCATACTTCTACAACAGACATTTCAAGGAAATTGAAAGAAAGCATGCAGTAGCGGACAAAAAGAAAAAAACATTTCAACAAAGTATCACAAATGAGTTAAAACACGTGACATCTAACACCAACCAGGAATACGAATTTTACAGTTATTTAGATTACCTTGTAATGCACATTTCTGCATTTTATCATTTTTATTCCCGTTTTTAATGGAAGCTTTAATGTAATTTTACAGCTGAGAAAATAGAAAAAACATGTAAGGAACAAAACTTCTAAAGCAGTTCAACTACCAACATCACCATCATCGTCATCATCATCATCATTCACACTGTTCTGCCACTGGTATTTCAACCAGGAGTTGTCTGACTGTGAGAGAGCAGATAAACCGAAAACAGTACCGACCTGCAGGGCCTCCTCCTTTGTCACTGCAGGTCGTGGGGGCTTTAATAAGCCGAGGCACAAGTGGTCTCCGTCTCATCGTACCTTTTAAGACCGTCCCAAAACCAGATCACCTCCGTATACACATGTGTTCGAGCTTCACGTGTTCGTTCAAAGCACCGGGATAAGTCAACTATGTTTTAGTTATCGCATCCAAGATAAGAAACAAGATCGCAAGTTTCTATACTGTCCCGCCCCATGTGGGGTAGCAAACCATAGTTTCCCATTGGACGGGAACGCCGAGTCGCGTATGTTTGTTCGCCATACATTCCTCAAACATAACGGTGCGTTAAGCTTATCGCCACCTACTGGTTCGGAGGACAAGAATCCTCCAGTAAGGCTGGTACATATTCTGTATTTCACAAAACATAGACACGAGATTATGTCATGAGCAGAAATTAAAATAATAATCGTAAGAAATTCAACAACATGAACCTCTGCTTTATATCATTAACTTGCTGAAAGATACCTACAAAACAGTAACCAGCTGGGTTGTTATACATATGTAACAGATTTTATCAAAGAATTGTCATTACATAAATTCTTATTTAAAAGCAAACTGAAACATTAATAGTGACAGAAATATTGTCCTGCAGCTGCAAATAAGAGCAATGACTAAAATACGGTGTGAATGAGTGTAAAATATTATCTGATTAGGCCAAATTGGTGACAAAAATCAAACAGCCCCAGAAAATGAACATCTGCACAGAAGCAAAGGTATAATTGGAACCTGGGTATGAAAACCTACATCTGTGGCAGTGGTGAAAAAACAGACTAAAAGTAAAGGATGCAGAATTTAGAAGAACTACAGAGTAAATATGTGAAATGCAATAACCAAACAAATAAATGCATCGCTTTGCATACATATATACACACCTAATTTATATAATATGTATACCCTAATTTATCAAAACTAAAAAGAAAGCAGGGAGAAAGGTTCATGGGCGAAGGTGAAGAACAAGTGATGAGGGAGGCAGAGCACAAGGGGGTGATATGTAACTGGAAGATGTACAGGACGGTGAAAAGAAAATACAGAAGATGTGTAATAATGGCAAAAGTACTAGTTAGGGGATCAGCATTTGACTACCAGTATATTAAAAATACTGGATTTATATGTGATTCAGTGAAGCTCTAGTGATGCCCCTTCTGGTCTCAGGCCCAACTATTAAAGACAAAATGGAAAACGACAACTATGAAATGAAAAGAGATGGAGAAGGTGTAGCAAAGTGACATGTCAGTGAATGAAGCAAATGGAAATGCAGAAATACAGATGCAAAGATTCCAGAACTCCTCATTCCTGACTACTGCTATTTATAACAGGGACGGGAATATTCATCTCTATTAATAAATCCATGTATACTTTGTATGCCCCCAAGGTAGGAGAAAGGCTGAATAAGGAACAGGAACAGTGGATTAAAAGGTACAGGGTAGATGATTGAAGGAAAGACAGGAGGGCAAAAGAAGTTTCCAAACATCCTGAAAGATCCCCAAGAACTATTACACCATAGACCAGAGAGAGGGCCATGGAATGAGGATGGTAAAGGTAGCATCTCCATATGATCAGTAAAATCGAAGAAACACCAAAGTGCTAGAGCTACGAAGACAGAAGAAAGGAAAGGGCCAGGCCACAAGTGGATGGAGAGGGAGGGTGTGCTAGCAGATACAGGTACAGCAGACAGCTCCAGAAACATGTGGGGAAGTGGGAGATGGACTAAGGCCACAGACGGAAAGATAAAGAGCTTCCAGAATAACATCAGATGGAGGAAAGGGGCATAAACAGACCCAAGGGGCATAAAGATGGAGAAAACAAACCAAGAGAGCAGAAGGGTAGAGACTGACGAACAGAGAAGAGAACATCTCCTGGCCTTCCTGGGTGGACCCCTCCACACAACCATAGCAAAGTTTTGGTATGTGTAACTTTCAAATAATTACACACTGATTCATACAAAAAAAAAAAAAAAAGCAGACCCAAACACCTGCCTAATCCAACCAAAACACTAATACCAGCCATTGTGAAGTTCTTTTTTCCAGAAAGCAAGAAGAAATAAAGTGAAATACAAGTGTTGGATTAATTAACATTTTAATGTTTAAATCCCAACATCAGCTAAACAACATCTTATCCATTTTGTTTCCTTAGATAAAATCCCTAAGAGGATTTAGTGGATTGTTAGTTCATGGTAATGACAATAAAGGAACACCATGTAATACTTTAAAGAGTTTAACAGTAATCTGTCCCGTACATTTCACCACCCCTATCACACACCATAGTTGGGCATGCAAAACATCATACCGAATAAAGATCTCAACACTTTACCAGCCAAATGACAGTGATGTTGTGAATGCTACGCAAGACAGTGCCTGCTATCCGACCTGTTCAGCTCTTCTGATAAAGATAACTTGTGTCATGTAAGGAAACCTGCATGAATTTATTCAAAGTCTTTGATGTAAACTTTCCTTGGATGCGATATTACCTGTAGTATTGTAGAGGTGGAAAGTTCAGGTTCAGAAAGTACAAATCCAGACAAAGACTTTATACTCAACTGACTGGTTGAAATGAAGAGTCGCGTTCACAGGGTACTCAAATGGTTGGTTGAAACAAAACCTTTTTGTACTTTTCGGAATCTGAACTTTCCACCTGTGCAGTATTGCCAAGAGAATGTGAGGCACACACGTTTTAGCCTTAAGTCCAAAGTGTCTGGCAACTCATGAGTGCATTTTGTGATGGTGCCTTCTCAGGTGCCAGCTCCGAGCAAAACTCTTGTTACACTGGGTACAACAGTACAGTTTCTCGCCCTTGTGCAGCAGCTGGTGAGCCCTGAGACTTTGCGGCCGGCTGAAGCTCTTGCCGCATTCGCTGCAGCGGCACGGCCTGAAGCCGGTGTGCTTCCGCTCGTGACGTTTCAGGTCCCCCGACTGCCGGAACCGCTCTCCGCAAACTGTGCAGAGAAAGGGTTTCTCTCCCGTGTGTATCCGCTTGTGGACGTTCAGCTGCCCCGAATGGACGAAGCTCTTGCCGCACTCGGAGCAGGTGAATGGCTTCTCTCCGGTATGAATGCGCTGATGCTGCCTGAGGCTGTAAGACCAGGTGAAACACTTGCCACAGTCGGTGCACAGGAACAGCCGGTCTCCCGACTGAGCGCATTTGTGCAACCTCAGCGTTTTCAAGCAAGTGAAGGTCTTCTGACACTGCCTGCAGGATAGCTGTCCGGAATCCTCCTGGGCTTCGTTGGCCAATCCAGACTCCAGAAGCTTCAAGTGCTCCTCTGGGTGATACCGCTTCAAGTGTTTGTGAAGGTAGTGTTCCGCAGTGAAGGAGAAGGCACACTGGGGACACGGAAAGACCCGAGAGGCCACTTCGGTGCTCTCCAGGCGCGGCGTTAGTCCCACATGGGTCTGCTGGTGCCGCTTGAGGCCGGCCGACTGGCTGAAGAACTTGCCGCATTGTGTGCAGAAGTAGGGCTTCTCCTGTGTATGAATGGTGCGCTCGTGCCTCCGGAGGTTGCACGACCGGGTGAAACACTTGCCGCACTGGGGGCAGCAGTAGGGTCCATCTCCGCTTGGGGTGCACTGGTGGGCTTCCAAGCTTCCCTTGTCACCAAAACTGCCACAGCATTTATGGCAGCAGTATGATCCCTCTTGTTCTGCGGTGCACTGGTGAGTTTTAAGGCTTTCAGAGTCGCCAAAACTGCTCCAACACAAAGCGCAGCCATACTGCGGCGTCTCTGGCTCAGTCTGCTGACCTTTTGGGTTTACGGCCGCTACTAACCGCTTGACACCTTTCCCCCTCCGAGCCCTACCTGAGATGGAGGCCTGCAGGCTTGGGCCATGATGCAAATTGGATGCAGAGCCATCGGAGCGAGCCGGTCCAGACACAGGCAGGTCAACATGCTCCTCAGGGTGATGCCTCCTGACGTGTTTGTGAAGCTTCTGCTCCGAAGTGAAGCAGAATGTGCACCACAAGCAGGGGAAAACCTGTGAGGAACCCCCCGTGCTCTTCTGTACCAGTCTCCCCCCTTCATGAACCTGCTGGTGTCTCTTGAGGCCTGCTGATTGGCCAAAACACTTGCCACAGTGTGTGCAGCAGTATGGCTTCTCTTTCGAGTGGATGGTGCGCTCGTGACGCTTAAGGTGGCAGGATTGTGCGAAGCTCTTTCCACAGAGTGGGCAGGGGTACGGCCCCTCTCCTGTTCGCGTACATTGGTGTCCCCTGAGGCCGTCTGGACTTGCAGAACTTCTCCCACATTGTGCACAACAGTACAGCCCAACGTCATCTGCATTTCGGCCAGGTTTGATTTTAACTGGGGTCCCTTCGTGGCTTAAGTGCTCCCTATTATTAGTGCATAAGTGAGAAGGAGGGGGTGGAGCCAGCTGGTCCTCATCACTAGTAGGAGGCGGAGCCACAGGACTGAGCTCTGCAGAATGTAGGAGCTTGGCGCTCTCTGCAGAGTGAGACCGTCTGATGTGTTTGTGGAGGTATATTTCAGCGCTAAATGAGAACCGACAGTGAGGACAGGGGAAGACGGGTGACCTTGGCTCTGCAGACCTCTCTGGGGAAAAGAATAACACACATGCAGGCCTGTTGGTTAATATAAAAGAGCCAATGACGGACAGACAGATCCAAATGTTCACACCCAAATATTTGCTCCCAAGCTTGTGTGCCACAGTCTTGCCAACTCCTTTCTCCCTTCAAAGTCTCTATGCCTGTTAACTTTGCCACTGCATTACAACAAAACATGTTACAAGGAAACAACATGCTGCTGAAAGTACATAAGGAATGTAAAGGCTCAAAGGCTCGTCACCTGCAGGATTGGACTTCCTGTCCCACAGGTAGTCCCACGTGATGCCCAGCTCCTTGGCGTACTCATCCTCATACCACAGCAAGAGCTCCTGGCCTGGCAGGATGGGCCGCAGGCAGCGGTACAGGACACGCCCCCGGTGCTGGAAGGCCACCAGGTTCTGCTCATCTTCGTTACGGGCACAGTTCACATACCTGTGACACGGAACGGCAGGAAACCCTTAAGTCTGAAGTGGGACAGAAACACCGAGAAAGCAAAGTAAAGACGGTTACCTCATCCAGTTGGAGTGAGTGTCCCGTGTGCCATCGATGTACTCAAAGTGATTCTTCTTCCTGCAAATCTAAGCAAAAGTTATTTGCTTAGATTTGCAGTGTTGCTTTTTGCACAAAACACATAGATTTTTTTTGCACCATTTTAAAATGCAATTTTTGTTTTAATAAATATACAGCTGAATCTCTATCCTCTACAATGGCAGTATGTACAATTGGTGATATTACACAACATTAATTTCTAATTTATCATTTATCATTATTGCATTACCACTACATTTATCGCACATCCCCAATTTCTCCCATATTGTGCAGCCCTAAATAAAAAAAATTAAAATAATTTCTAAAATACACTGACTCACCACCCACGAGTAGCCGCTCTCGATGGCCTCTTCCCTGCTGGTCACATCTCCTTCGTAAGGTCCAAAATGGGTCCCAGCAGGCACTGTCTGCCCCTGGTTAAACACGCCCAGGCCAGCCTCAGGCATAGTGGACCGTCCAATTACTAGGCCAAGAGGTAGTGTGAGTAGGGCCCGTTGAGGTACTCCCATTGGAGTAGGAGAGTCGTGGATGAAGGAGAGAGGGCCGTGGGTCTCACACTGGTTGGTGTAGAAGGACCGGCATTCTGCACAATCTGGTAGAGGAGAACGGCCACATGAGATTAAACACTAGAAGATACTAACCAATCAGACTATGTATGGAACTGGTAACTTTTGGCAAACACATGGCCTGAAATTAAGGAGACGCTTGGGGAGCATAACATGTAACCATTATGGTGCTTCAGAAGTATACTGTCATAACTCACACATAAGCCGCAAATGGTACGGCACAATTTACTAACCAGCTAAAAAGATCTAGAGTGTTGTTACTCAAAGTTGCATGGGTGGTAGGGAGTGGCAGTGAAATCATTCAGAGAATTACTCACAAATCTGATCATCTTCACATTCTTCTGATTCCTCTTCCTCACAATGATCAACAAGCTGACTTGCATTACATTTGAAATGGGCTGTACTTTCCTCTCCAGACAGCGCTGTGAAGAAACACACATAAGCAGGCATTCTCTGCACATACATGCCATAGCATAATAATAGACAAATCACACACCCGTCAGTGGTCTGTCAGCAGACAGGCACCTCTCATCCTTGGTGCCGCTCTCCTCTGCCTCTGCCTCCACCTCCACCTCCCCCTGGCCCATGAGTGTGGCTGGAATACATTCAGGGCCTGATAGAACAGCCAGACAACATCCATTTTTCCATCAGACAAAATACATCTTCAGTTTCAGCAATACCAAAACACACAACTACCATTACCATCTGTTGTTCTCCATCCCAGAGCTTTTCTATTGAAGGTAGGATGGCCAAAGAAAGATTTTTTTAAGTCATACTGAGTTACAGTTTAAACCAAAAACATATTATCCACACTGATGATGTTTTTTTTTTTTGTTGGGGCGGTTGTTTTTGGGTAAGGAACACATCTTTATAACCTTTTTTATTTTTATGGTAGGACAGCTTAATTAAGATGCAACATTCAAATAGATAAATATTATAATATGGAGTAAAGGTTACATTTGAACAACACTGGCTTGGATCATTTCTCAGGGAAACTGACGTGCACCAATATAGTTTATGAAGTTCACAGGAGGCTATTTTTAAACAAACAAATCGTAAAAGGCCTTTAATTTTGAGAAAAGATAACTTTATAAATATACATTCAAAACAAAAACATAACTGGACCGTGTTTAAAATACTTATATTGTTTAACGGGAAGCTCAAAAAACTTGTCAACTATAAATGCAGTCGGGCCCATTCATTTCTGAAGTACAACTAGACCGGAAAAGCTACGTCTCCGTGTTTCTTGACACACAGCAATGTTAACACTTCGTAAAGGGCAATTTCTACGTAACCAGTTACAAACGCCTTACAGCAAGAAACATAGCGGAGAACTTACAGCATGGAAGCATAAAACTAAGCTAACTACTAACCTGGGTTACCTGGCATTGAGAATCTCCCCGAAAAGATCGACCGAAATATATACGCGCCGTAATGTATTTATTATTATTTCTTTATTTATTTGCAAACTTCCGTTTCTGGGTTTTGTTAAATCAACGACTCATAATAAATTTACAGCAAACTAAATATACTACTAGCTGGACGCCGCCATCTTAGCCTTCTTCTTCGTGGATAACGTGCATTGCGCTTATATCGTTTGGCGGTTATTCACCACCTATCGAATATCATGGGAACTGCAGTGAAACCATACAAAGGCACGCTATAGGAAGACCGTGGTCCAGCACGCTGTTTGATAAGTTTTAACAAAAGACAAATTTACGGGAAATAAACTATAGCCGTACGGAGCTTATTATCTACCAAATGAGTGTGACAAATAAGTTGGTGGTGTTGTCCTGAATTGTGTCAACAGACCGTCCGACAAACGCGAGACCTTTTACCTTTTTTTACACCTAACATCTCCTCATTTAAAAGATGATGGGGCTACTGAGCTGTCCATTTCTACACCGCCATTTCAGTGCTTATAAAGCGTTTCCATGATATATCGAAAAAGTAGAACGTGGCGCTGGGCTGCCAGAGTCACGCGATTGACAAATCATTCTCATTAAAATGAAATGGTCGGTTCAAGGGTTCATTTATTCTATGATCCGTTTGAAGCTTGGTGCGATATGGTACAGTGCCTCGAATTTACCTGGTTAAACATCACCCCATTTAGATAGATATTCCTTATCCTTGTTCAATTTCAAATTATTTTTACACACAGAAAAGAACTTTTACACAGAAAGACAGACAATTCCTCAATGAAACCAAAAGTTTATTCAGCAGTTTGACCATGAATATTTATTTATATAAAAATGTCGGAAAAACAAGTGGATTCATCATTATTAACCGTACATTGATGTTACATAAAGAAAATAAAAAAAATACTCAAAACATTTATTCATCCACTCCATCACCACAAAGAGAAAAAACTACTGAACTGGATTCTGGAAGGGGAAGTACAGTGGTAAGAACTCCATAATCACACACGGGGGTGCTTAAAAACCACTCCCTGATGCAGGGTGAGTGTTGGAAGCTCACATTATCCCATATGATGACAATATCGGGCTATCTTATATCGGCTTCTTCTTGGTGTACAAGTCTGTCATGCATTACATCTAAAAATGCAGTGTTCACTGTTGTACAGTCCATTCAGGGGTATGTGGGCAATAACACCATTCAAGGAGACGGCTGGGCACATAGTGATATTTGCTCCACATTGATGCTCCTCCTTCTACTTGTGACTTTCCCCAAGCTGAATTCGGCTTCATCAATATAAACAAACAGCTGTGGTGAATCACTGCCTTCATTTTCCATTTTTTTTTTTTTTTGACAACAGACCAAATCGTGCAAAGCACCATCGAGTTGAAACAATTACAGAACAAGTATTGAGAAGAATATCAACCTATACATACTGGATCCCCAGTTCCTTCACTCACTCGGTGATTCTTCCAAATGGTACCTTGTACAGCTGTTTCATTTTGAGCTGACACTTGTGCAGCACAGATTCAGTTGTAGAAATGCTCATTTTGTGTACCTGCCTCTCTCGTTTCCAGCTCTGAAATTCTGATTTCCCAGTTCAAATGGAATGCACCATTACTCCTGCCATACTCCAATGCAGGTGCAGACTGGGTATTTTCTTTGGTGGGACTGAAAACAAAATCTAGAAGCAGCCCGGCCCTGATCACTGGGAACACTGTAATCTCTTATGACAATCAAGATGCAGTGACATTGTTCTGTAAAACAAATTTGTATTCAAGTTTCAGTGTCACCCTGTCCTAAAGTTCATAGAAGTGTTTTCATGATTTTACTCATTTTAAGGAAATTCTGCTCAGTTGTCAAGTTTTGACATTCTCGAAATGCCAGGAAACACTCAACTCGCAGGAGAACCCAAAAGTTGGCAGCCCTGATATGACGTGCTCTGCTCATCAAATTTAAAAAACACATAAGGATATGCCAAATTTATAGTTTACTTTTGGGTGTCACTATTAATCTGCTTATCAAATTGGGGATGTAAGTAAATGTCCATATAGTACCTAACATCCATAATTAGACAAGGAGAATACAGAGATCTGAAACCCAGTATGTGATCAGAGGCTAAACGATGGCAAAAAAATGTCAGGTGTGGCTCCCCGACAGCACAGTTGGCTGCTGTTTGAGAGCCAGGCCTCTCTGCTGCCATCAGGTGGTGGAGATGCATTATGGCAGCTTCGAAGGGTTGAGACTTCTGATCTGTCTGTGAGGCCAGGAGAAAAGCAAGGAAGGAAGCTGCTTGCCCCAGAATAAATTATTGGACCATATACCTTTAAAAATATATTTATAAAACTGAATATCACAAGTCAAATATATTTTGTATTGTCATTACTATTGAATGCTGTGCATATTCAATTTGTTTTTGAATTTTTATAATGTCTAATTCCTATTTTGGTACAGAATGGAAAAAATCAGTAATATTGTTACCCCTCCTGACACTGGGGAATGTGATCTGCCAAGAACCTTCCATCCTGTCCCCCATAATTCTACTTATGGAACCATAATATCTTCAGTGTAGAAACACTACTTTTATTAATTTCTTTTAAATGCAGTTAGTGATTATTGTAATATGTCTCTACCTGGTGGAGAAAAATCAAACAATATTAATTGTGTGTGGCAATGGTGCTTTAGTGGGTAAAACTGTGGCCTCTCCCCTTCAGGGCTGCGATCCCACCCTCACTCTGTGTGCCGGGAGTTTGCATGTTCACTTCGTGTTTGTGTGGGTTTCTGGTAGTCTAACTGTTTTTCTCGGTCTGGATTGCCCATATTTTTTAACAAATCTGCTTTATTTTTAAACAAATCTGCATATTTAAATCCTGGTTTAATCCTGGTTCTGCTGGCAGAAGGCTATGATGAGCAGCAGGTTGCTTCCAAAATTTCTAAGACAGCAGTACACAAGAATAAACCATCCAGGTAAAGGGTGGAAGCTCCATTCTAATGCCAAAGATGAATGTTAACTTATCTGACAGTTTCTCATGAATGGGAGGATGACATCAAATGATCTTCAGCAGGAATGGGGAACATTAAGTGCAGGTGTGAAGTGCACTGCTAGGACAGTGTGTATCAGGCTCCTAGAACCAGGACTGAAGACCCATAAAGCAAGGAAGAAGCCCTTCATCAGTGAGGAACAGAGAAGAACCAGGCAGCAGTTTGCCTCTATATATGTATATATATCTCCATTATCTTCACCATCTTACAATATCTTATTGGATCAAATGCCTTTAAAAATATATTTATAATACTTTTTTTTTGATAAGTCAAATATATTTTGCATTGTCATTACTATTGAATGCTGTGCATATTCAATTTGTTTTTGAAATTGAAATATACGTATAGAGGCAAATATATATAGGTGAACCCATAAATTGAGAAATGAGTGAAACAGAATTTTTTCCATGGCTGTATGCTCACGTAAACACACACACAGTCATATGTATAGTCAACTTACACATACCAAACAGATTAACTGGATGCCTCTGGAGTGTGTTAGGGAATCAGTACACAGTGAAAAGCAGCACAACGCGGGGAGACATGTTGGCATGTTAAAGGCAGTAGTTAGATGGGAGACATGCTGGCATGTTAAAGGCAGTAGTTAGATGGGAGACATGCTGGCATGTTAAAGGCAGTAGT